AGGCATCCATTGACCAGTGCATTCATGCCCAAACCATGATAATGTCCATGCTGCCAACCCATCCATTGACCAGTCTCTGAATCAACAAATCCCGCCGCGCAGAAACATCGAGTTTTTTTGCGTCTTTTGTTCCGCATATCATCAAAACGGGGACGCCATGTAGAACAGTGCTAACATACGAAACTTTCAGCCCTGCCATGCTTTCGCATTTTCTTCCAAGACAAACTGGGGCAAACGACGGCGATGGACCCTATATATAGCTCCACTTGTTCACTTCGTCCCCGAAGGAGGTACGCGCCTGCAGCTGGCGACACTTGTTTCTCATCTGCTGGGCAAGGTCTTGTCGTCCATCGAACCGCAGTATATCGTGCTTTGGGCTGTAGTTAAAGCTTTCTGTGCTTTACAGTAGTCACAGCTCAGGACGACTTTGCAAAGGGTGTGTTTGACGGCTTGTGCCTCCAGCCTCCACAACCGGAGTGGCAGTGTCGCAGGAGGTGGCGGAATGGATCTCTGGGATTCGTTCACTGGGCAAGCCGCTACGGATACGAGCACAGGCGGCACGAGGGCGAACAACACATGAACATTAACAACTGCTTCACTTTCGTATTCGTGAAGGCAACAGAGGAGGCTGCTTGCAGCATTCCCACTTCCCCGACCGTCTGTCGTGTGTGCCTACAAGACTTCGAGAACAAAGAGTCGCTGGAACAGCACATGCGAACACCAGCCCTCCCTGTCGGTGATGCGAGCGCACACCACTGCAGTGTGTGTCGGCGAGCTTTTGGTTCGAGCCGGGCACTGGATCAGCACATGAAGTCTTGTCAGAAGCCGGCAAAGCCCCTGAAGGAGTCTTCCGGCTACAGCGAAGTGCTTCGCGAAGGGTTTTCGGGGAACGTGGTTCGCATGGATGTGCCTATAACATCGGAAGCAGGTCTGAGGCTGTCCCATTTGGCACGACAGTCTGACAAGCTCCGGCGTTTGTTGCCTTCAAAGGCAGCAGTAAAGCGTGCGATTGGGAGAGGTGAGCTCGTCTTGAATGGCGAGCATGTCGAAGAGACCCGAATACTGAAAGCTGGTGACCTAGTGACTCTCTGCTTGGACCGGGTACGTGAGGCCTTGGATGCAACAACAGCACGGGCCCGGAATGTCAAGATGGTGCTGCCCCGGGAGTCGCCGACTGCGCCGGGTGATGGCTGGCAAGTACTACGCTCCGTGTGTCCGGACGGCGTCGTGGTGGTGTGGAAGCCGACTGGCATGAGAAGTCTGGGATTCCATGCTGGGACCCTCCAGTCATCCCTGCCCCTATTGCCTGAACTGGCTGCGCTTGGTGCGAGCAGGTTTCAACCCTTCAGCCGGCTGGAAATTGGCTGCTGCGGACTATCTTTGGCCGCCAGGTCTTGTTTGGCGAGTCGCGCGAGTCTCTGTATTAAGTCGGGGAGTAAATCGGTGATGGCTCCGGAGCAAGGTTCCCGTGACCGACGAGGTGCAACAGGTCTTGACTGGCGGGCGCCAGCCCGAGTCTGGATGTGCAGTCTCAGGATCGATCCTCATTTCCACCGTCGCCGAGGCTGGCTGCAGGGCGCGTTGTTCACACATTTCGCGCAATGCTGCACGGGCGGCACGCTCAGCGTCAGAGATCTGCACCCGTGGTGAAGTTTTGTGAATGTTTTTTTTGCTTTGGAGGTCGATTGGTAAGCCTGGGACGACTTTGACTTTAACTGGCCAGGAAAGCAGGGGCTTCAGAGGATGCCAGGGTCAGCCAGGCTTTCTTGTTGCCTTGGTGTGTTTTCATCAAGTTGCACGGAACCCATCGGTTTTTGCTGCATTTCCATGTCGCATGCGATAGATAGCACCTACAAGTGTTAGCATTCTCGTCAAACAGATCCGTGGACCGTTCTCGGAGAGGAAGCATGTCACGGAAATGATGCTCGAAGTTTCTGTCCTGCAGTCTCAGTAAGCGACGGGACGTGCCTCAAGGTCCTGAGTTGCTCCTCACAGCATCGCACTGCTGAATCAAAGCATGTAGCATCTCGACACTGCAGGACATTTGCGTACTTAGGCTCTGAAGGCCCACACTTGCATGGCCAAAATCACGAACACAGGCAAACCGATTACCACAAACATATCACACGCAAACACCTGGAGATTTCCGTCTTTCGGAAGCCCGCTCGGCACGAGCAGCCTGAGAAATGTGCCAAGACATGCCGAGACTGACCAAATGCAAGCTCTCGATGACCTTTCCTCTAGGAGAACGAGTAATTTGTTATGCCAGGTTTTCCTGAATGTTAACACGCACCCACAAGGTGGCGGCCGCGAGGAAGCTTCTGACAGTGAGGAGACGGCTCTGCAGAGGTTCATCAGGCTCTTTTGGCATATCTCGCCTCACGTTGCTTAGAGAGCTTTCGTTTCAATCAGAGCCTGCGATCTCAGACCGAAATCGAGACGTGTTTCTCTTGTGCCAGTGGCACGCAGGAGCATGACTCTGTGGAGCAAGCTCCCATCGCGAAGGACAGGCAGAGGGCCGTGAGTGAGAGCGAGAGAGAGAGAGAGAGAGAGAGATCACGGTCTTAGCAGGGGTGTTCGTTGGGGGAGGGTGGACTGTGCCTACCTGGAGGGAACACACTTGCAAAACTCCAATACGGGGTGGACAGACGAGACTCGCGAACCGTTGAGGGGTTGGCCTCCGGGCCGGGGGTCTTGGACCCCAAGCCCCCAGCAAGCAAGCAAGCAAGCAAGAGAGAGAGCGAGAGAGAGAGAGAGAATATATACTATATTCCATGAGCCCCTTGACAAACTACGATCGTTTCTCGCTCCCCATTCCCAACTAAATAAGCTGGGTGGGCAATATGCCCGGGGACCTTGACCGGTCCCTATGCCC